ATGTGTAGAAGGTCAGATGGGTTTATTTGAGTGCAAGTGGGTGTATGCTATTTATGTATTACTTCTGTATTTTCATCACAAACTTTTGAGCACTCTGTAGATGTAAGGCTTGTGTCATGGAGAAGCTCAGACTAGATAATCTTCAGGCTAGGTAAGGGACTTAAAATTTCTGACATTTACTCTGTCGCCTGCAAGCATTTTAGGAAAGAAAGGAGATCTGAAATAGAGGTTCTCTTGCGTGCTGGAGTTCTGCTACCTCCGTCATTGGATCCTGATGATTTATTTATATTTTGAGTGTTATTACGTCTTGGTTTAACCTATCCACTCAGTATCGTATAACCATTTTGAAACCATAATACAAAAGTATGAAAATAACCGTAAAATTAGGAGAACTCTTTCCATCACACCCTTCCCATTTGTGCAGGGCAGACATCTGCAAAAGGAGACTTTTAGCTCCAGATGTCAGGACTGCAATGGTTTGTCCTCTGTGGGACTGCTTGGGACGTAAGCGGAAGCAGTACCTGGGCAGAAAAGTATTTGAATTGTAATGATAGGGCAGTGCTAAAAAACACTGTAAAAACAATTCCTTGCTTTTCACTGGGGAAGTCTCCATTTGCCTCATCAGCTGCCTCTGGCTTTTTGCCCGGTGTTCTGAAATCTACTCACGAAGGAAGATAGCAGAGCGAGTTTGTCCTATTCCTCTTCCCAGGCGCAAGATGTGAGACTTGCACAGATATGCCACCATTTCTGTTCCAAGCACACACCGCAGCAGGCAGTTATAATAGGGGGGTACAGCCTGCTTAGCCCGCTCATAAATCTGCCCTGATATATTAAGCAGTCCAGGACAAGAGGGATATATGCATCATTCTTGGGCAGCTGTCAGAAGCATGGCTAGGTCTTCTAAGCATCTGTGCTAGCCAGTTTGAACACTCCCAAAGAAATAATTTAGCCTCTCTTTCTCTAACATAGGCATACAGCGTTCCAGGTGATTTCCCGCTTGCAAACTCTCTGCCCGAGTCCCTGTACAGGATCGCACCGGGTGGACTTCAGAGGGCACCTGGGAACATCTTGCAGGACAAGGGGTTTGCATCAAACGTCCCTGGGGAAAATTTTACTCCTCATCTTGATGTGCACTGTCGCTGCCCCTTTTCTCCACAGAAGTGGCTGCATTTCTCTTGCACTGTGTGTATGGTGCATAAAGCATTTTGGATGAAAAGTCTATAGAAGTGTGATACTAATAATATTTTACAGCTTTAATTACCATGATTGTAGTGCCTAAGGGTGTATGCAAAAACAATTTGAGGGGGAGGAGAGAAGGCAGCACTGTGAACATTTTTGTGGTTTTGCTGGGCAATGCGCAATTGAGTTTTCTCATGGGAACTGCACTATGCCAGGAAGAAAAGCTGCCTGCACCCCTTTGTCTACTCCATTGGGATACTGGATCACACCCCAAAGTAGAAGACACTGCTATAGTCATTTCAATTTCAAGTAAAAGCTAGTCTGCCCATGCTTGTGTTTTGTAGAGAAGCTCCAAAGGCAGGTGCTGTCCATTTCTGCATGCAACAGGTATTTTTCCTCGGGTGACATTACTTTTGTGAAATCAGTGGCAGTTTTGCCAGAGGAACAGTGTTAGGATTGGGCAACTGCTGATTTGTGGCACTGATTTATCAAACTGAGAACAGCAACCTCAAGAGTAACATGCCTATTTCTTATCACAGGATACAATGCAAATGGAGTATTCACTCCTTCAGAACTCCCACCCGTCCATACTATGTATATGTGGGCAGAGGGAAAGACAATGAGAACAACAGAGGGACCTTGTGTAGCTGTGCTAGCACTCAGAGGGTCCGGGTCAAAAATCTTCAGGCAGAGTTCGCTAGAGGAAGCCTTAAAACAATGTAAATAGTCTTAATGCAAAGTAATATAGCTACTTGGTTGGAACTAATTTTAAAAAATAGGGAAAAAAATCCCACAACAGGGATATAAGTTCTTAGAGTTTATGAGAGTTTATGGTATGTAGGTGTAAAGAAGGGAAACAGTGTCTTCAGGACAGTGCACTGGAGAAGTTTTAAGAGCAGCTCTCGAGTGAAAAAGTACTATCATTCAGGTGTAAGCACTAAGGTGCAAGCACTTTATTTGCCCTTTGTTGGGTAGATATCTGTTATTTTATAAACTTAGCTAATACTAGCAGTTAGTCTAAGAAAAAAGGCAGATTTACCATGAGAAAGCATAAAAAAGTCAAGTTGACCTGTTGTATCAGTATAAAGTCTCCATCTTTGGGGAGGGCCTTGCATTTCTCCAGCTACACAGTTTAGTCCCGTATCTTTTGAAAACTTAACGGTGTTTCACCCTCATGCTTGGTCATATATGGATTTTCAGATGTCTTTACATAGTTTATATGGTCGTGATTTGCCACAGGTTCATCAGTAGGATCCTTCAAATCCTGCGAGACTTGTATGTGAAAAACTGAAACACAAATTCTATTTCAGTTGAATGTGGTAACCAAAGAGTTAGTCCGTGACTCAGCTCCCTCGCACACCAGTGCCTGTCCTGTCAGACAAACAACTGTGAATTACAATGAAGTGTTTTGATAGCCAATGTATTGATTTGAAGGCAATGAAAACCAAAAGAGTCATGAGTATGATAGATATTTCTGGCTATGAAAAAAACTGTACATAGCCTAAGAGATAAACATATTTCACTGAGTTTTTTTTCCTCTTTAAAGTTTTGACATGTCATCCTTTTTCTTTTGCTCTTTACACTAAATAAGATTTTCACTATTATAAACTCAGATTTCAATCTACTTTTGATGAGTTAAATACATTAAAAAACATGTTTTTTTTCCTCACTTGATGTGGTCTGAAGGTATTTAAATAGTTTTAAAAACATAAAAAGAAGAAACTCTAATGAAATGGTAGTTCCTTAAAACAAGAACCAGGTTTTGATCCCAGCCTCGCCAAGACTGCTGGAAGTGATGAGCAAGACTGCAATCTCTCTCGTTGCTGTGTTGCGTTCTTTATGTCACGTTTCTACAAAGAAGAAAATTCTACATCTGGGTAATCAAATGGATCACTGCCATTTTAAACTACTATCGGGTAATCAAATGGATAATCACGATCATCTAATAACAGCAGAGACAGAGATGCGAGACATCACTGCCTGAAGGAGCCCTGAGCGGTCAGCGTTAGACGGTACCGCTAAACCCCAGCCGTCTGAAAGAAGGCTTGGAAAGTTGTCAGGCAGGCAGGATCGCCTGTTACAGCGCCCTGTGGGTACAGCCCAGCAGCTTGTGTTCTGCCATCACAAGAACTGCGCACGAGTGTTTTACAGAGCGTGCACAACCCATTCATCTCAGGTGCCTAAGTTCTTACGAGGCGTAAGGACTTCCTTCCTTCCTTCCTTCCTTCCTTCCTTCCTTCCTTCCTTCCTTCCTTCCTTCCTTCCTTCCTTCCTTCCTTCCTTCCTTCCTTCCTTCCTTCCTTCCTTCCTTCCTTCCTTCCTTCCTTCCTTCCTTCCTTCCTTCCTTCCTTCCTTCCTTCCTTCCTTCCTTCCTTCCTTCCTTCCTTCCTTCCTTCCTTCCTTCCTTCCTTCCTTCCTTCCTTCCTTCCTTCCTTCCTTCCTTCCTTCCTTCCTTCCTTCCTTCCTTCCTTCCTTCCTTCCTTCCTTCCTTCCTTCCTTCCTTCCTTCCTTCCTTCCTTCCTTCCTTCCTTCCTTCCTTCCTTCCTTCCTTCCTTCCTTCCTTCCTTCCTTCCTTCCTTCCTTCCTTCCTTCCTTCCTTCCTTCCTTCCTTCCTTCCTTCCTTCCTTCCTTCCTTCCTTCCTTCCTTCCTTCCTTCCTTCCTTCCTTCCTTCCTTCCTTCCTTCCTTCCTTCCTTCCTTCCTTCCTTCCTTCCTTCCTTCCTTCCTTCCTTCCTTCCTTCCTTCCTTCCTTCCTTCCTTCCTTCCTTCCTTCCTTCCTTCCTTCCTTCCTTCCTTCCTTCCTTCCTTCCTTCCTTCCTTCCTTCCTTCCTTCCTTCCTTCCTTCCTTCCTTCCTTCCTTCCTTCCTTCCTTCCTTCCTTCCTTCCTTCCTTCCTTCCTTCCTTCCTTCCTTCCTTCCTTCCTTCCTTCCTTCCTTCCTTCCTTCCTTCCTTCCTTCCTTCCTTCCTTCCTTCCTTCCTTCCTTCCTTCCTCCCCCCCGAGGAAAACTAACCGCCCGAGGTGCCCGCTTTCCGGAGCGCCCTCCGCGGCCCGGGC